AAAAAAAAACACGTTAGAGGCTTTTATTGGAATTCTATCCGTATTTTATTGGTAGTACTGAATTCAAAATCTCATCAAAAACTAATGGCTGTCAATGAGCTAAGGATAGTTGTTTTCATATATAGTGCGGGATGTTGTGCCTCGATCTCTTTGCAAAGGCAGAAAGGGTGTCATGAAAGAAAATCGTGTTAAACGGTACAGCATTCGGGACATATTTTACTCTCTGTTTATTTCTCTAACGCCGTCTTTATCTATCTATTTAGGGTAACGATTGTGGGCTTAGAAATTACTAACAAGGAGGTGCGTTACCTAACTTCAAACCCCTAAAATGGGATACCAAACTTTCATATTCCATCGTAATATAAAAACTAAAAGTCCAGAATAAATGCTTTTTTGGAGTTGGCATACTTTTAATTTACCCTTAACAGCGGAGCATTGATGAGGCCCCATAAAGGGAGGGGGGTCTGTTTATCCCATACCCTATTAATTTTTGGCCTAAATATCCTGTATCTTGTTAAATCCAGCTTAACGATTTCCTACTCATAAAGTCCCGTTTTATCTGATTGTTTAGGGGCTATTTCCTCTCCTCTTCAAACTGATTCATGTCGTGTGATTGCAATATATTATTATGAAGTTAAAACACCATAAACCATTTCCCATATTTTCCCTTTACTTTACAAGAACAAAGTTGACTAGGTACCTGGGTGGAATGATCAGGTGCTAAGGTTGTGCATGGAAGCTGTACGAGAAAAGGCACTGAAAAAAGAGGATTACTGGGGAGGATTCGTTATGGACGAAATGGAAATTCAGGTTCGTTACTAGTGCTGACAAAAACTTGCTCAACATCATACCGGTCCAAAAGCACTTGGATAACCCATAAATTGTCATTCAACAATTTTAATGTTGTTTAAAAGTATATTAAATATAAGACAGTACAAGTTTGCTGTTTCTTGTTAAGAATTTTACAGTTCATAATTACGATACTGATATTACTGAACTTCTTACAAGGAAAACCTTGAAATGGTCATAAAACATGGCAAGCATCGCCTTGTTGGCTTCGTTGACCTGGGTGAGAGCCATGACGTGATGACAAGTCTTGCAGGTACGTTTTGAGCTCGGGACATCTACCCATGATACATGTTTTAAGACGTGAACTGAAACGTATATAAGAAAATCACTTACCACACATTTGCCTAGGGTGCAATCCGAAACGGTCTAATTTGTCAGACCTGGGGTCCCGTTCTCGAAAGTCCCGGTAGATACTGGTTCCAAAAAATTGTGTTTTCTTTGCCATGATTACATTCAATATCGAGATATCAAATGTTTTGATAATCACACAATATAAATATCAGTAAATAAAACAAAATGACCCGGTTTTTTGAGCTAAAACTTGGATAACTATTCCTTAGATTCAGATCTTAAAATATGGCTTTGGGTCCTTTAACTTTAAGGGCCCATGGACTAAATCAACCAAAATAGTGCCTTTTACGAAATTCCTAGAGAAAGTCTGTTGTGGTATAATTTACTTATCTGCTCTTTTTTTTCATACAATTAATAGGCACTGCTAAACTTAGTTATCCAAACCGTTATTTTAAAGGTACTAAATATTTCAAAACCTAAAAGTTGTTTGTTTGATTAACGTTGATTTTCTCTAACAGAAATCAAATTCGCAAAGAGTACATAAAAATCAATCAAAAAACATATACATAAGTAGCCACACAAGAAGAATGTCTCACATTATACATCCTATGGTTCATTTGCAGTAAAATCTGAACCTCAGCTGGCCCCACATGTACTGCAATTCATCTTCCTTAGTGACGGGGGCTTTCGCTTCCCCATAGCGCAGTTCCCATCTGGGGATTGTTCACCTAGTGACCTGTATTTTATCTTCTGGGATGGAGTCCGAAAAATGCTGGAATTTGGATTTGTGTAAGCCTTCTCCTTCCTCCACAGTTCTTATGCTCAAAGTAGATTCTTAATTCTATAACAAAGGCAAAACAGGAAGACAAGAGTTCATTATTGGCAATTTTATGGTGTACATGTATATTTTATATATGAGGTCATTTATTGTGCCTTATTTCATATATTGTATACCTGTTGATGCTGCCAGCTGATTTTAAGTTGGTCTTGATTCTCTCTCTGATTCCCCTGTAGTAACAAACAACACAAACCTATGAAACCCTTTACACACTTTTCTTCCTATCAGTTATTTAGTTTCCTCTTAATGCAAACTACTTCATAAGCTTGAAGTACAACTATGTTACTACAGTACCTAAGCACTCTTTATGAACTCAGAAAAGTAAACACTAAAATTAAATAATATTTGACAAGATAGCAAACCAAATAAAACACACGATCTTTACTCATTTTGTTAGTTTGTTTTTCATAAAAGCATTTACTGGTGCATCATGGATGGAGCAGACTGCCATAGACAGTTCATTAAAATACATTTTAGTGAACGAGACCCAGTGGCAGACCAGTTTGTGACAACTAATGTTTACACTGGAACCCCATTGGTATTCATTATGGACCCAAAGGTACACTGAGGTTAATAACTTCATGAATTCCTAAGACACGTTGTCTTCCTTTTGAATTCCCTAGTTTTAATTAAGTTAATGGTGAAAAAAATACAGGGAACATTCACTTCAGTCGCTGCAACGAAGACAAAGTAATCTTACAGCAAGAATGCAAAAGTGAGCCACTTTAAATCAATTCAATTTGCTTTCAAGGCATGCAGACTATCCAATCAGAAGCCAAGAAATGCCATCTCTGGCTTCTGACAGGAAAGTCTGCATTTATGAAAGGATGTGGTTTAATTAAACTGGTCATGCTTTTGGACTCCTTGCTAAAATAAAACAATAAAAACTTATGCATCTTATTGTTTTTCTCTTATTATCAGCACAACGTTAAAAAAATAAGAAACAATATCGAGAAAAGTAATGAGAGTGCCAAGCCCAGGTGTCTGAAAATTAAAGGAAAAACAGTGACATGGAAGAAATTTAGAGACGCATATAACTGGGACCAAAGCAGCTTCAGCCTCCCTGTCCATGAGAAGCTGACGACACAACATTTTGAGTTGGACCCTGCTTCGAAAATGCGAAACCACTTGGCCGAGGATGTTCTTGATGATAGGATGTTGTTTCTCATGCAGTTGAAATGTTAAAAGACATAAGGCATAAGAGGGGAAATTTCCTTAGCATAACTGTTAGATATTGCATACCTGCAATGAAAAATGCATTGTTTTTGTTTTTACTGCAGCCTTGGCATTTTTCTCTAAAGCATGCTCGAAGATACTCATTTTTTAACTACTTAATTACCAAATTAAATATAGACTTAAATAACCAGTAGACCTTTTCACACATGTGTTATGTGTCAAACATATAGTTTGTTTTACCCACAGAAATACCAGGATGATCTGACAGCCAACAGCAAGGATGGTTCTCAACTGGATGGAATAATCGTCCTGTTATGCCATACCTCAAGGCTAATTCAATTGTTCAATGACAAACTACCTATCGCTTGTACAAAAGATCAACGTCTACAACATCTAGATGAATTCTATCGATTCCTGATTGAATGGAGAGAGGAAACTTCCCAGAAAAATAGTAACTTTGTCTCTGCAAAGCTTTGGTTTGACCTTCAATGCATGTGTTTGGGATTTAGGGCTATGGTCGCCACAAAGCTCACTCAGTTTCCCTCATCTGTAATCAAGCCAGCATTGGTCAATCAAGACTGCGTAGAAAATCACTTCTGTCAGGTGCGCTTATGCAACGGGCAGAATAATAACCCAACCTATGTCAAACAGCAATCGACTCAGAATTCTATCAGGTTTGGACAAACAACAATAAGTCGAAAAAGTAATGCAGGCAATCCGAGTGTTAGCTCTTTCTCATCTTGTTCACTACCTTCTAATGCAGTTTGCTCTGGTAAAGGTATGCTTTAGTCTACCATTGCTTTCCACCAGATTTTTTCAAAACAATGTATATCTTCTTACATACAAGGCCAATCAGGCAATTTCGTGTAATTTGTGTACAACAGTGTTAATTTTTAATATTTTTAAAATTCATGATTGGAAAGATATTAAGCTTCTCAACTGCATATTGCATTCTAGGTTAACTGACTGGCAAGATAAATAAAAAAAAGCAATCGCCAGGGTGACAATAAGTCAGAATTTTTCACCTCATGTGAATTGTGGCAGTGTATTACATAAAGACAACTTGCATGAAACAATGTACAGGTATGTACCTGTCAATCTAAGTGTAATCCTAACAGCACCATGGCGTTCATCTGCTACAGTGTTAACCACTTGAAATTGCCTGTCAGTGAATGGAATTGAGGTTTTGCTCCTTGTAGCTTCCATCAAACTTGTGGCCAAGGTCTTCTTTGTATCTGCCCTTCGGAAATGGACCTCATACGTTTCACAAAGACGCAGGAGTTGATCTTTCAAATAAACTCTGCTTAAAGTGCACCTAACCCCTAAAATTTTTTCTCGCTAAAACGAATTTAATTGTTATTTGAAATAGTTCTGCGAAAAAA